AGTCCTTATTACAAAACTCGTGAGGGATAACTTTTGCTTTTACCTACTTATGGCATTGGATTCATTAATTGTTCAGTTTTACTATTGGAGAATAATAAACCATAGATATTGTTTAAGAATATTCAAACTTCCATTTGAAAAGAAAAAAAAACAATATTTCTATACACACACACACACATATATATATTCATCAATCTGTAGTTATACTTGAGTTGATTTATTTGTTAGTAATTCAACACGGATTCACGATTCTGGTCATGAATTATTATCCATTATCTTGCAAATTATATTAAACAATAAAATGGTTTGTTTATTGATTTCGCGTAAAGCTACTCGAGGGTTATCTGCGCTAGTTGTTCTTAATTTTGAAATGATAGGCTAGAGGAGAGGCAGTTATTCAACATCACCCACCGCCAACTCTGTGCTACTTTTCACCAATGAATAGTAGGATTGACCATAACATTATAACACCCTCACAGCTGAAATGGCGAGCACGTTCGGTGACAGGATTTGAACCCGCCACCCACAGATCACGAGTCGAGTGCCTTAATAAACAAGCCAAAAAAGTAGGTGTATAGGTTTTCGCACAGTGTTGAATAGTTCCTGATGTCTTGACATCGGTATAAATTGTAGATGAGCTATGTCAAGGCGTTTTTAGACTGTTGAACTATCTTTTACCATTGTTTACGTATTTGTTTTTCTTCTTTCCTAGAAAATGCAACTCCTTCAACGAATCATGGAGGAAATGAACTGTCGGCTTCAGGCAGCTGAAGCAACCAGAGCTAAATGGCCTCCGATATCGGATTTCGTGTTAGATCAAATGCAACAGCACTTGGATGAAGTTCTGGTGAGATTGCTGTTCTATTTTACAAACAATGTATAGAGTGATAATTTTATTTTACAAACAATGTATAGAGTTATAATTCTATTTCACAAACAATGTATTGAGCTATAATTCTATTTTACAAACAATGTATAGAGTGATAATTCTATTTTACAAACAATGTATAGAGTGATAATTCTATTCTACAAACAATGTATAGAGTGATAATTTTATTTT